TGGACAAATTGACATGTATAGAACAAATAGGTTAACAAAATATAGTTAGGTGAAAGATAACGAAATGCCCATCCATTATTTGTTCTATCCTTTAAAATAAAAAGTTTATCTAATAACTCATATAGTAACACTTCAAAGCAAGAAAAGCTGAGATGTTGCCAAACTACTATATGCAGAAAGAACTTGCCTCGAAATCGTTGCTTGCGCCAGTGGTGACCTGATCCGAACCGAAGACAAGCTCTTCACCGACACGTCCACCCATAGCAACGTCCAATTGCGCGATCAGCTGTTGTCGTGTCTGGTAGTTAGTATCAACTTCATCAAGAAAGCTAGTGTGCCCGCCTGACTTTCCGCGAGGGATTATGGTTACCTGAAACAAAGAGATAGGAAAAAGGAGATAAATGAAAAAGGTATGAAGTTGGAGAGTTCGTGCCATTTCCTTGATTGCATGGGCCACAACAGCCGCAAGTAAAGACAAGAAGGGGTAAGAAAATGGTTACCTTATGAAGAGGAGTACTGCCAGGTGTATAAATGGCGGCGATTGCATGACCTGCCTCGTGGAATGCTGCAATTTGGTTACTCTTTTGATCTTTAGGAAGTTGGCGCTTGGGTCCCATAAGCACACGATCCCGAGCATCCCAAAGATGATCCATGCGCACTTGACTATCACTTTGCAAACCAGCTGTAATAGCAGCCTTGTCATGGAGCAAGATATGATAATAAAATAGATTGAGCAAGACAATAATAAAAATGTTTTAAGTCAGGCGAATTGGAATGAGGTTAATATAAATGTGAACGAATTAATTAGTTAAGAAGAGAGTAAATTGGTAGACTTAATTTTAAGAATATGAATCATCCTTTCTTACAAGAGCTGAACGTATAGCAAATGAAAAAGCGAGTCGAAAGCTACCTAAAATCTAAAATATCGGCTAAGTCAAATAGATTATTTGAATACTAGGCTGATTGGCAGGAAATATAACTATTTTGCAATTTTGGGTAATAGCATGAAAACCATGGATGTCTA